ATAATTAGAATTTTCATGCTAAAGAACTCATAACATGTGTCAGCCAGATATCTGTAGCTGGAAAAGCTATAGTAAGTATTACAGAAATAAAAAATATAGATATTTTCTTTATATAAATTTTATTAAAGGATTTAATTTTTAGCTTTCTTTGATTTCACTTTTTAACAACTATATCATTTTTTTTTGTAATGTCATAATAAACCCATTAAAAAACCCAGAAAGACATTTTGGAAAGGCCAATTAGTATTTATCTAATAAATTTAGCCTTTTAAGAATTTCTTTATTTTTATATACTTTACTTCAAGATTTTTACACTACAGATCCCAAATTTTCTCCAATTTTTTTTGATACCTTATATGTAAAATCATAATCATTTTCTATAATTTTTATAAGATTTACTTGGCCAAGGTGCTGTTTTAATAAATAAAAGGCTAGAAGAATTTTGTTTATGCTTTTTAGTTTTATTAAAAAAAGCTAGTACCGAACTAAGATATGTTAATAGTTTATTCCTTTGTTCAGATTTAGTTGATTTTGCTATACTTAAAATCTATTGCCCTAAAAGTTCTAGTGATTCTGTTGTATTATTATTATGTTTATCACTACATTCTAAGGGTTGATTTCCAATACCTGGTCGTTGAAAAAAATAACCACCTTGTGAATCAAAACATTGAGTGCAAATGTATCAGGGTTGATATTTATTATCATTGCTTTGATCATGTTTTTTAATAATATTATTATTAATAATAATAATAAATACTGAACATGTTTTGAGACCCATGCAAGGTACTTGCCTACTATATATATAGTATGTTGAACACAACTAGTTCTATGACTAAAAAAATACTTGTCTTTGTTGCAAAATAAACAACAATAACAGTATATCCAACTTTTTTCAATATGTTGTAAAATTTTAAGTTTTGAACTATGAATAACATTTTGATCAAAACTATAATATGATCTACAAACACCTAAAGTATATAGCTTATTATCATGTTTTATAGACTCAATTGCTTTATTATCAATTTTCCAGATATTAACTAGCTATGCTAAAGGTCGCTAAGTTTTTTGTTTATAGTTAGAGCATAATTGCATCTGGCTATCAACTATGTGTAAAAGAATACATAGTGTTAACAATTATCAAAAAGGTAATTCGAACTTTCTGTTAACCTTGATGTAACTAATATTGTTTTACAAAATTCACAATCTAAATCTTTCTACTTAATATCATCATCATAATTATTTTCTTTTTATTGGCTAATAACTTGGCTATCTCAAGAGCTAATTTATCTAGTATAAATGAGTTTATTTTATTATTATTATCGTTAATATTACTAATATTATTAACTATATTTCCAACTTCAGAATTGTTTGTAGCAGTAATAAAACTAATACTATTATTATCAAGAATATTATAATCGCTATCTGGATTTATACACTAACTTTCTCTTCATTTACTCCAAAAGTACTATATAGCAGAATATCCTCATCTGATTGCTCATCTAGAATTGATTGTATAACAATTAATATCACTCTAAAGCATTGTTCTTATTGTTTCAACCTCTTTATAAAGGATCTTTTTAATAAATAACCTTTCATGACTATTATTTACACAATTCTGAAAGTTTATTTTGTTAGAAAAATTATATTATTAGGCTTATATATTTTTTTCATTATAGAAAAATTGTTAACGTTAATAAATTGTGGCTTAGCAGTTATCATAGTCACTTTACTTAAGTAGAAGATCTTTTTTAGATTTTAATTCATTAAGGATTTTAAACTTATTATAAGATAAAGAAATAATCAATGTATCATAAACATTATAATATAAACATGTGAAAAATTGTAGTGTTATGGTGCTACTATTGAGATGAAAATCATATTTTGATTTTTTTCTTATAAAATGCACAAATGCTGCATGTAGATCTTATAGTTAAAATATGTTACACAAAAAATTAAGGGACATTTTCACTGATCACTAGCAAGTTGGAAATTTTAAAGTATTTCTATTATATAGAGAAATGCAAACTAGTTCTAAAGTTTATACAAACTCAAGATAAGACCTCAGATGCAAAAATCAAGGGATTGAAAACAAAAACCCACCCAAAGTTTCAAATAAGAAGTAGTACAAGACCTTTAAAGGTGCTACAAAATAGACTTGAAGTAAAACTAGAACTAGCAAACTTATTATAACAAGGCTCTATAGATAAGAGGCCTACTAACATAGCCACCAAAGTTGTATTGAAGAAAAAAAACATGTGCTTTAAAAACATAAACTAAGAATTGGAAGACTATTGACACTAAAAGCCAGGCAGACTAACTCTTTCAGGCTATATAATTTGAGAGGATGTAGCAAGTTGTAGAAGAGACTATAAAATAATAAAAAGTAGGTGTGGGGCCTTGCATAACCCCATTAAGAGCCAAATAACTATAGTATCATAGTTTAATCCAGAAATAAGTAGTTAGGTAAAAAGAGTTACATGAGGCTAGGATGTGCATTGGGATATTGCACAAGCTTAGTAAAAATGGGTTTCCTATAGTGCTCGGCAAAATCAAACAAAAACCCGATTATCGAAGGTTTTGAATCTATCAATTTACAATACAGTAATATTGTGCATTAAATACAAATTTTATTTTTAGTATATATATAAATCTAACAGGAATATGATCTTACTTTAGACTTAATGGTATATAACATGAAGTTTAAAGTCAGTTAGAGTAAACATAGATTTTATAATTGAAGCACAATACTATAAATCAATAGATTCAAAACTTGATTTTGCCGAGCACTAGTTGCCTAAATAGTATGTATAGATTGTAAGGCTTAGTAAAAACATAAGTGGAAATTCTTATAATTGTATAACAGTTGTAATACATCAGTCTTAATATATAAATAAAAGTCTTGCTGAAGGCACATGTGTTGACTTGTTTCATGAAAAGCAAAAGATCAATAAATGACTTTTTTAAAAAAAAATGCAATATCTCGGAATTTTATTAATGAAACTTCTCTGAGTATCTTAACATAAAAATTCCTTACAAAATTTTACTTCATATGCAGTTAGTTTGTTTATATTATATTGATTACTAAAGTAAATTTTGTGCTTTAATCATTAACCCATATCTTTGTATTTGTTGTCGCGGTGGTACGTATTGTTACCCGTGCCAATTCGACTAGTAAACTGCTGCAAAACCCGAGCCATTTACGGTCCACCGAATCCGTAACAACTCGGACCATACCCGTACAAATCCGTATCTTGACCCGTACCGTGCAGATCCGGTACGTTTTCTTATAGGGTTAATAACAATATTATGTATGTTTTTTTTTCGAACTTTTGAGCGAAGATATCGTATCTCAGTAACTACCTATCTAAAATTAATGAATTTTTTTATTTTAATTCTATGTATCCATAAAATTAAATTTTAAAAAATTCTCATCGATTTTTGATAGGCAGTTACTGAGATATCTTCGCTTAAAGTTGGAAAGAACATAATCTTTAATAATCTTTTTGTCTAAATTTTTTTTTTTTCTTTGAATTTTAAACAAGATAGGTAGTTATCGAGATACCGTTGTTTAAAATTAAAAAAAAATTTAGACGATATCAAAACAAAGACTTGGCTAAGTTCTTCCCGAATTTGAACGATGATATCTCGATAATTACCTATTCAAGATCAATGAAAAATTTTCTATTTATTCTATTGTTTCATAGAATTAAAATAAAAAAAAAATCGTCGATTTTAGATAGGATGTTATCGAGATATCCTTATTTAAAGTTAAAAAAAAAATTTTAGACAAAAGGATTATCAAAACGAAGATTATGGCAAACTTTGAGCGAAGATATTTCAGTAATTACCTATCAAAAATTGATGATTTTTTTATTTATTTATTTTAATTTGATGGATACATGGAATTAAAATGAAAAAATTTTTATCAATTTTTGATAGGTAATTGCTGAGATAAAAAAATATAATTAAGGATCGTCAATTTCGTCCAATTAGGAGCAAAATCTAACTTTTTTCATGGCTAGGGAACTGAACTGAACCGATCCAGCTCTAAACAACTTCCTAAAGCATATGGGAAAAAGGAACAAAATTGACAAAACAAAAGATCTTCAGAAAATCAATTTTTGTGTTATAAATATTATAATAGATTATAAGAAAATACAAACTTTAAAGAGCTATACTGCAAAATTTTATTAACACAACTACTTTTGTGTCTTAAGTGAAAAAAGTTTCTAATCTTATTATAAATTAATTTATGTAAAAAAATTTGGTTTGAAAAATTGTCATTTTCGTTCCTTTTTCCAGCACCTAGCCCATATTTGAAACACAAAAATATTGTTTACAACCTAAATTATTTTTATCATTCTGAATTACAGTATTTTAGTTTAGGTTATTTAAATTTACATCGAGGGCAAAATAGTTTATATACATTCAGCCATGAGCCGCACATCAAAGCAACGTAACATAAAAAAAAAAAGGAACTCGGTCAATGATAAATCATATAAAACATATAAAACATATAAACATATAAAGCATTGGTGATTATTATAATTTTATTATTGCTCTCTTACATCTGGCCTGCTTCGGCAAGCAGAAACTACGGCTAAAAATCCTACGACGACTTTCAAATTTATCGGAATGTTTGTTTAGGTCAATCTCGGTCAATCATATACGTACGAGCCTGTACCTTTATTATGCAAAGTATTACACCAATGACATTTGTCTAATTGCTTTACCATCGCTATTACCTGCCGACATAACCCAAATAAATAGTGTGACACAATAAAGCATAGACAAATATGTAACAATAAAGAAGCTATTTGTACGATAAAGGTAACATGTATCACTTAAATATTTACTTTATTTCAATGTGATGACTAAGCATAATGATAGAAAAAGTACTGTACGTACGTACATACGTATGCACCATAAGTAGTTGTAAAATGCTGTTATACTTGAACTGGTTTTCCAAATACACATTTTTAAATTTATTTTAGCAAATTATGTCAAATGTTTTGAATGAATTAATCGAGACCATTATTGATGAGAGAATAAAACAAAATTATGATTTATTTAGCAATTTTGAGGAAATTTGTAGAGGCCCATTTGGGACTGTACGAAAAGCGACATGGGGAGATAAGACAGTTGTTCTTAAAAGTCTAAATATTGATACCACTGATGAAATTATTACTAAAAACGAAGTATATATTAGAGCATTTGTTAATGAGGTACATATAAATATAAATATTTTATATTTTCCAAATGAAGTTTCTCATTTTCCCGATATATAGCTTCAGAACACTGATGAAATTGTTACTAATAACGAAGTATATATTAGAGCATTTGTTAATGAGGTACATATAAATATAAATACTTTATATTTTCCAAAAGAAGTTTCTCATTTTCCCGATATATAGCTTCAGAAACTTATTACTGTCGACGAACATGAGCATCCAAATATTGTCAAATTTTATGGGGTTACTAAAGGTAATTAAACATTGAAGCTACCAATTATCTTCCGAAACATTATCTTTATAAACTTTTATTTATTTTAAAAGATCCATTTAATAGTCAATATAATTTAATTTTGCAATTTGCTGTGGATGGGAATTTACGTGATTACTTAAAACGTAACTTTTCGAAACTGGAATGGTCAGATAAACTACAATATGCAAAAGAAATAGCGGAAGGATTATCTTTTTTACATAATAATGGAATTTTTCATCGAGATCTTGTAAGAATTTCCGACTAATATTTTTAATTATTTTTTAAATATCGAGAAAAATTAATTTATCCTTATTTCTTAACAGCATTCAAAAAATATTTTAGTTCATCATCAACGAATGATGATTGCAGATTTTGGTGTATCCAAACATATAGATGAAGTTACGTTGGTTAAAGCTTTTGGAATGTACGCATATTTAGAACCTCAATGCTTTAGTAATTCGCAATATAAATGTGACAAAAGATCCGATATCTACAGTCTAGGAGTAATTCTTTGGGAGATTTCCAGTGGTAGGCCGCCTTTTAATTTTTTTGAGCATAAAATAGCAATTATTACTCATGTAAATAAAGGAAAAAGGGAAACTCCCGTTGAAAATACGCCAGATGATTATGTTAAACTTTACAAACGTTGTTGGAATCAAGATCCTGGAAAACGTCCAGAAATAATGATAGTTCTTGAAAATCTAGAAAGTATACAATCTTCTAACAACAAAAAAAGCATCCGATCCATTAAAAGCATAACAAGTATCCGATCTTCCATAAGCATTAAATTAAACAAAAAGACTAAATCAATTTTTAAAATATTTTCATCTGCTGATGAATCTTCTCAATTAAACAATGAAATTTCTCATTCAAACGATGAACCTTCTCAATTTAATCATAAAACTTCTCAATGGAATGAAGAAACTTCTCAATGGAATGAAGAAACTTCTCAATCGAATGAAGAAGCTTCTCAATCAAATGAAGAAACTTCTCAATCAAATGAAGAAACTTCTCAATCAAATGAAGAAAATTTTCAATTAGATGAAGAAACTTCAACTATAATCACTAATGAACACATGAAAGAAATTATTTCTTGGATTAGCCCTTTACCTTACGATTCAAAACATGAGCTTAAATTAATTCTTAGAGGTAGCAGAGATGGCTTTGAGAAAACTACTTTTTATAACGAGTGTAAAAATATGGATAATACTATAATAATTTTAAAGGTTCTAGAAACTGGGGAGATTATTGGTGGATATAATCCTCTTACTTGGAAAGTAATTAAGGAAAAGAAATATAAAGAAACCGGGTCTAGTTTTATTTTTTCCCTAAAAACAAATGAACAACCCAATTCTACGCTTAGTAGAGTCGAAAATAAGGATCATGCAATTTGCTGTTTGAAAGGTTTTGGTCCATCATTTGGCTTTTTAGATCTTTTTGTATCTAAAAATGATTTAAAAACTTGGGGAAGTAGTCGGTCAAATTACGAAAAAGCAATTAAGAGAGAATCTCAATCTCAAGAATTTCAAATAGAAGATTATGAGGTGTTTAGATACGAACGGATAATATAACAGTAACATTAGAGATATTATAATTAGAGTGGAGTCAACGAAGCACCCTAGATTACATAGTAATCGCTTCTGAGATCTATATGAAAAATTGTGATGAAATACGAGAGATTAATCATGGTTTGAAATGATGGTCAATAGAGTATAAAGTAGAAATAATATGTTGAAGCAAAATGGTAATGACTCTATGGTATATTTCAGTAAAGGTGTTGAATGTCAGATATGGCATGTTGTTATCAGCAGAGTGGATTAAATTACAATAGCATAAGTGATAGCAACAAACTCAAAAACTCACATATTGAACCATTAATGAACCCTTAATAGTAGATGTGGTTAGATATGATGGTGGCAAAGAAATCTATGGTTGAATGTGTTAATGCGAAGTAAAGAATGGCTCCTGTGTTTTTTTTTAATTTAACAAAAATATTTGTCTAAAAACAACATACCAGTCCAGTCAGATTCTGGTTATTATAACCAAATTAATTGATAATATAAAATAATAAAACTTTGATTTCGAAAGTATAGCACATATTTTATCTTGGGTTTTATTATAAAATAGGGTTGGAGTTAAAAGAGATACTCTATGATTCTAAAACATTTACTTTGGATTTACTGTATTATAAAGTCTTGAAGTTTACTTACTTTTAGATTTCATGTTTGTTGCTTATACGCCACTTTCCGAAAAACTGGTTAAGAAGTCGAAGCCAGCTTTAGGGATTTCTTTCATTATAGGTGACGTGCCCAATTAATAAATATATTATTAATAAACGGTGTTGGCAAAATGTGAACATGGACAACATGGACCATTGGACATGGACATTGTCCATATTGTCTACTAGACATAAGACGCTTAGTCTAAATCGGACACGTGGGCTGCTATTTCGAAATACTCCGGATAGAATAGCCAAAATTAGGGGAACTTTTAAAGCTTTATGCAATCATATGTTTTTGACTATTTACAGTCAGACCTCTATAAGTGTACGCCCTTGGGACCACACTCTAATAACGTGCATATAGAGAATAATAAGAAAACTGCATTTATAGAGGTCAAGAAGGTCTGACTGTGATTAAAGTTAGGGTAAGGGTTAGGCATGTTTTATAGGTAAAATCAACCGACATTTTTTATTAGTGTACCAATATATGCTTATTCTTGTATTCTTTGTTTTTCGCTTTTTTTTCTTCGTCGGGCTGTTCCGTGTTTCTTTAAACAACAAAGTTGATTGGCTATAAATCATGCGATTGCACAACGCTTTAAACGACCCCAAAATTGGGGCAAAGGTCCGAAATATCCCGAAAACTCGGGTAAAAGAAGATATGGACACTATTTGGATTAGCCATGTCTATATTTGTCCAAACAAAATTTTTTATTGGACATAGCAACATTGTTAATAGATAAGGGGTCACTTACACTAAGAGATCCAAAAGTAGAAATTATTGATCGAAAAAAAAATGAAGGATTGAATAAATGAGGATTAACTAAGGTTTGGGCGTTGCCCCCGTGTGAGATGGTTAAAGTTTTTTATTAGTTTTTAAAATTTGTCTTTATTATTCAAAATACATAGTTGATTTAAAAATTTTTTACTAATTAAAGAAATTGACATTTATGATTAAAAATCATACTAATAATCAAATGACCATATTGGTACGTACTAATTTCAGCTAGAACAGTAATCATGATTCTGAATTTAAGCTTTTTTTTTAAAAAAAAAGTCTTTGTTAGAAAAGTGATCAACGCCCCTTTTTGTTTATTGTAACGATCTATAATATTTTAATATTTCCTAAAAATGTATTGCCATTTACATATATGTTACACATGCAACATTATTCGTAACAACGGTTTCTTTGATTTTTTACCAAATAGACAAAGTCATTCGTCAAGATTTTTGATAAATAGTTCATTTTTGAAGGGGTAAAAAAAAAATAGCAAATTTTATAATAAACAAAATCGGAATTAGAAATTTTCTATATATGTGAATGAGGCTTTCTTATATACAAATGTATTATTATTCTTCTTCTTCTTTCTAAATAAACCTCTCTTCAATTTCTAATTAAACCTGTAAAGCTAATTTTATTAATTCTAACGATATTAAATCATCAAAATCAACTTAGTACATCATGAGATATGAAAATTTTCAATTTTTATTATGATTTTTCTCAATACCAAAAAAATACAGCATTCGTAAACTAATAGTAATACTGCGCCGCATTTGATTATAAACTTTTACCCTTTCAACTGCGGACTACCCTTAATTAATATTTAATTTAGCATTTCCTCTTTTATAGTAGCGTATAATTAACTCAGTTATGGATAATATAGATAATAGGGATGATCAAATGGGAGTAGATATCCCTGATACTGAAACTAGGAGAAAAAAAATTTTAAAAACTTCTTCGGGCTTGGGATATAACGTTAATCATATCATTGGAGCCGGTTTGTATTTTTTTTAATTTTATCAATTTTATTAACTTATTACGATGTAACTCATTATCCTTATGTTTTATAAGGAATTTTTATAACACCTAGTAATGTATGGAGACTAGCACAATCTCCAGGATCTGCCTTAATGTTATGGATTTCTGGTGGGCTTATAAGTCTATTTGGCAGTATGATTTATGTCGAGGTAATTGAGAACATCTGTTATAGAATATTTAAATCAGAGATTTAAAAAAATTCTGTTTTCAATTTATTTCAACGTACAGTTAGGGTCTAGATTTCCTGAAGGATCAGGTGAACAAAAGTATCTTGAAGAAACGTTCGATATAAATAAAATTGCGCACATATTCAGCCTAATTATGACAGCGTATGTATTCATGGAACACCATCATAAATTTCGACCTTTAAAATTCGCGATCGAAATCCCAAAACTTTAAATTATTACAAACCCGACTATTACTTGACAAATTATCAAGCAAATGTGGAGTAAATTAATTCAAAGTAAAATATGTATTGTTCATTTCCTGAGGGAGTAGAAATAATAGCAGAGGCTACCGACGATCATAGCACTTGGATGGCCCGAAGGGCCATCCACATACTACGATCATCGGTAACCTCTGCTATGATTTCCCCAGGAATAAATGAATAATCCCAGGAGCGTGTCACTAGATGTTAATCGGGCTACCATACTATTATTTTTACACGTGTTTCATATTTATATTTGCATTGTGCTTTACTGACTTTCGGGCTTTGCTTTATTTTTTTTATTTACTTTTTTTATCGCCTTTGCTTTTTACTTCTACGTTTAACTCTTACTTTCGCTTTGCTCTTATCGTGCCTTTTTTTAGCTTAATTTTACTATGCTTATTTTACTTTGGCTTTTAAAGAATACAAAAAAGAAAATTCTTCAAATAAAAATTAAGCGTAAAAAATTGGAATTTCCCGATGATCAATATGAGATCGGGAATCTTTCATGGGAATATTCCCGGTCACAATTTGATTATTATAAATATGGTTAATCACGTGTAAAAAAACAATAATGAAGGTAGCCATGAGTGACACTTAGTGCGACAGGAGATTATAAAAAATATTCATCGGGATCATGGTTGATTAGCTCCTCTAGTGATTATTTTAAGTTAGGAATATGATAGGTTAAGGTCCTAACCATCATATATTTTAGGGTTTATTCTCGCATTCGTGAATTGAGTATATCAAAATCCACTGTGAAAACTTGAATTTTGTTAATTTGGGAATAATCATATATTTCATGTTCTTGTCTTAACGAAATGCCTGTAAATGATGAGCTGTCGGAATTTAAATTTTCGGGATTTTAGACGTAACCTTTAAAATTATATAATGATTGTGTAATAATAAACTGAATTTTTTAAAAGTATAATACTTCCCGGAGCAATTATAGCAGATTCATATGCGTGCTCCAAGTATATTCTCTACGCATTTAAAGGAAATTCTGAGGACGAGGGTAAATATTTTGGTATAGACTACATGTAAGTTAAATTTTTTTGGTTTGAATTACTTTATTATCTACATAATCTTATTTTGCATTTATTATTAGAGAGTTGCGAATTTTGGCAATCGCAATTTTATTAATTATCACCGGATACAATGTGTACTCCAATAAATTAGCAATTAGAATTAATCAGACATTTGCCGTAATTAAAGTTTTTGCCTTAATTATAATTTCAATTATTGGATTAGTATCGCTGCGGGAAGATAGTAAAAAAGATCATTGGAAAGGCATTTTTAATAATACTCCATCTGATGATGCCCATGAACGATCTGTTTCGGAACAGATAGGAAGTTATGGCAATGCTATGTTAAACGTAAGTATATTAATATTATATGAGCGGTTTAAACCAAAAAGCCGCAAGTTTTGCATTTGATAGATCACCTTACGGATAAAATTCGTAACGCTGCTATATAATGCTAAGTAGCACTATTGGCATGAAAACCTATCAAATACATAAACATCTAACTTATAGATTCTAATTTAGTGTATTTTGAATTTTAACTAAAAATTTACGTGAAATTTAAACATAGGTTCTATTTTCGTATGAAGGTATGTTAATAAAGTAATTAAAAACTAATTGTTTAAATTATCATTATTGACTACATGCTACCTCATTGTATATATTCAAAGGTTGGAATAATTTAAATTGTAAGATACTATAATTCATTACTATTAGTATAAAAAATATGATTAAATTTAATTAATAACAATTTTTTTATTTTTTTATTTTTAGACTTAACGGAGGAATTGGATTCACCTGAACAAAGTTTGAAAATTTCTGCTGTTCTTAGCGTGGTCATTTCTTTTATATTTTGCAAGTTTTTTTTTCTTTTTAATATTGACTTATTTTATTCATTTAATTATGTAATAGTACTTACACAACAACAACAATTATTATTATTATTATTATTATTATTATAGATTTTTTAACTAACGTTGCTTTTATAACGGTGGTCGACCCTAACATGGCTATTAATTCACTCGATATTATTGCTATAAATTTTGGATACACTCTATGGGGTGAGCCCGGAAGAATAATTATTTCAATACTTATCTCAATTTCTGCTTTCGGATGCGTAGGCTCAATGGTCTTTATGTAAGGCCGTCAAAAATTTGCATTTAATACAATCAATAGAATTTTATAAGTTATTAATTTTTGTTTAAAATAGGGGCGCTCGAGCTATAGCATATACTGCAAAATATAAATTTATACCAAGGATATCAAGAAGATTATATTATTGGGGTGCCACCCCAGTTTATGCTTTGCTTTTACAATTTGTTTATTGTGCATTTTTAATTCTTCTCGCTCCGGTAGGCACAAGCTTTTTTCCATTTTTCTCTGATATGTCACAGTATTTGGCTATGGTGTTTTATGGTGTTAGCGCCATATGCTTGTTGGTACGTTAAATCAATTATTTATTCGTGTTTTATGTAACCAAGTTATCTAAAAAATTGAATAATTTTAATTAGATAATAAAGAAAAAACTGAAAGATGCTGAATACGCTTATTTTAAAGTACATCAATTATTTATCGGATTTTATCTTTTATTATTGTGGCACCATTTTTTCCAATTCCTTCAAGCAAGTACGCAGTGCTCAATTATGAATCTTATATGCCATTTGTTATTTCATGGGTCGCTGTATTTGTAAGTGCGTCCATTTGGTATTTACACGATTATAAAGGATGCTTTTAATGCTTGAATGCATTTATTGATAATCAGCTTATATTTATGAGCAAATTCAGTGTTGTCATTTTTATTCTTTTTGCTATTCTCTATTGCTTGTTTGAAAATTTTTACAATCAAATTTTATAATTTACTAATAGCGAATTTCAAATTTCTTAATATAATAAAAATTTTAATGTAATAAAAAATTTTATCCACCATCCTGTTTTGTACAGTAATTCAAATCTAATAGCTCGACAACTGGTAGCTAAAAAAGATAATTTTATTTTTGTTGGTGGTTATTATCGGAATTTAAGTTTCAATGCACCCTGTGATATCCATAAAGTTTTTTTTCACACATTTCTATTTCTACGCCTTTCTTTCTCCAGGCTAGCTAGCCAGCAGATCTATTCAATACAAGTTTTATAACAATATGATAAACTTTAACATCCAGACATGCATGTACATTGTTATTTAAATAAGTGTGTGATTATTTAATATGTTTAAATTTTTAGGATGTTTTCAAGCAGTTCCCTTAATTTAATTTAATCGATCTGTGCAATTCTATGGAAAAAATAGATGATCGTAACCCTAAATTTTTCGACTTAAATGACAATTATGATTAGCCAACCAAGTCGTTCGATAAACCCATAAAGTAGGACATTTGAGAACTCCCTTAACCATTTAATGAATATTAGTTGAATGTAACATATTTGTTGAATTAATATAATACGGAAATGTTTTTATTTGATTTAATAAAAAAAAAAACGAAAATAAAAAACATCAAAGCATATTATAATTCATAATTTCACTTAGATATCTTATTCATGATTGTAACATCGACTTTCTCCCGATAGCTATGACAATTCTGACCACTTTCAGTAGCTTTTTGATACCAATATGAAGCACTATTCAAGTCTTTTGTTGTTCCTTCTCCATATTCATAACATCGGGCAAGTTCATACGCTGAATTAGGCACACCCATTTCGGCAGCTTGTTTAAGATATTTAAATCCTTCGTCCATATCCACAAATGTTCCACGGCCTTTTTTTTAACACAATCCCAACTTATACATCGCCATTATATTGCCTTTGTCAACTGCATTTCTGAGTAATTTAAATGCTTTAGAATATTCTTGGCATCTATAATAACAATTTCCAAGTATATATTCTGCCGCTAAACATTCGTCTTCAATTGCTTTATCATACCATTCAATTGCATACTTTGTATTCATTCTTGTATTCCAACCGACTTCATAACACCTTCCAACAAAATATTTCGCAATAGTATCATTTCCCTTTGCTGCTTCAAGAAATAAACTAAAAACGTCAGCGTTATTCTCCTTTTTTTTCATACCAATTTTCCACATATAAAATATTCCGCGAAGACAAATATACTTTGGCTCATTTTTAAGATACAGCCAAATTAAAACATCATTAGCCGATTTTCCATTTTCAGCGATGTAATTTTTAATTGTCTTAGGAACAGATTCGCCTTTGTTAAGCATTTCATAAAGATTAGAATAAAGATCATTTATAAAGGTAATCTTGGAGTCTTGATCATTGAATTTAATTTCAGGTATTTCACCAAAAATAGTATCAATAATTTTAATATATTCTTTAGTGCGTTCTTCAAAATTTGATTCATCTTCATTAATACCATCAATTGGGATATCCTGAAAAAGCGGATAAATAATATCTTTTAACATTAATGACACTATACTAATAGATGGTCGATCATTTGGATTACTCTGCCAACATTCTAAATTCGAAGAATACGGTATTAATAAGAAATTATAATACTATTAATATAAATCATAATGATGTAAATTATAAACCTACTTTCATAAATGGTCATATATCCTTGATTTACACCCTGAATTGGTTTCTCTCTAAGACCTTCTACAATCTTTAATGGCAAAGTCGTTGGATCGTAATCATCAAAAGGCGGTCTTTCACTTGATATTTCCCACAGCAGAACCCCAACGCTATAAACGTCCGATTTCTTATTTATTTTATGCCTACGAGATTTTCCATCTTTATCGTCTTTTAACACGAAACACTCAGGGTCGATATATGGTACTACTCCAAAAATTTGCCTTGTAGTCTTAGACTTTGTTGAATTAATAATACGTTGTGATAGTCCAAAATCAGCTAATTTCAAAGATTCTTGATGAACAAGTATATTATTAGAATGCTTTTAAGGTATAATTAATGTTAGTATTCAAATATTATCGTTATAACAATTATTCAAATGAGAGCCTGAATTACCAGATCGCCGTGAATTACATTAAAATCATGTAGCCATTTAACTGCATCTTTAAAGTTAAAAAATTCAATTAATATAATAGTGAGTATTAAAACTTGACTCAATTATATTTTTCTACTTTCTTTTTTTTAACGCACCTACTAGTTGGGCTGCAAACTGAATTTTTAATTCCCATTCAATTTTAGTTGCATTTTTTCGCAAATAATAGCTTAAAGTGCCGTTATCTGCATACTCAAGTACAAGTGCATATTTGATTTCATCCTCATCCATAGAATCTAGTTTTATATAATGGCATTGTTAAAATTTATGATTTATAAAAGCAGATAACTGTTAAAATATTACCTTTGAATTTGGTAATCCCATAAAATTTAATAATATTCTTATGATGTTTTACCGAAAGCATATTTTCTAGCTGAATGTTGACAAATATTTTAATGTGATTTAAAAAATTTAAAAATTCGAAAAAATATTGCATAATATTATATTACTTCATTCACAATCTCTTTACTAATTTCTGCATTATTCTCAATTACTTTTAATGCAAACACTTCAACCGTATTTTCTTTATTGACTATTGTGCTGAAAACACTACTATGAGCTCCATTACCAATCTTTTTTTTTTTTTTAAATTCATCATATCTATACTCTGTAATTTTTTCTTCTTCGACTTTTTTATTAATCCAAGCTTCGTGCATGTTGAGGAAATAAACAATTGTCAATATTATGGTTGACATACGTTACATGTGGTTTATTTATAATTTTTGTACAACAGATACGCCATCATAATTTTTTATTGTGTTATTGTAACCAGGGGAGAGACTCGACTAACGTGATGTTAATTTAGCTCAGAGTTACAAGCATAGGTTATGCGGGGTGGATGCTTATTAGGAATTCGGATTTAATGATAGATAGTATGAATGTAATTTAGTTTGATTCATGGGTACTTAAGACTCAAGTATCTAACATGCATCAAACAGAACCACTTCTATCTTCCTTCTTCTCCTTAGTAATCTGAGCGTCGTATTTATACATTGTAGTTTGAAACCAAAATATTGGGTTTCGAACCAAGGTCCTTTATACATGGTCTCAAGTTCCGTGGTTCAAACCCATGTACAACCATTTCATAATAATAACGCTAACAAATAAAGTAAGAAATACTAATACAACATAAGAAAAATATATACAGTATCAATATCTATTTTTACTTGCGTTTGTGAAGTCATTTTCGTTGTAAGATTCAAAGTTCTCTTTCGAAGATAAATTGTATCAGGAAAATATTCTCTATTAATTAAAAAAATTGTATGCTATTCAAAATCATATCAAGAGAATCCATGCAAATTTTAAAACCTTCATATTAAGATAGATACTTAACATCACAACCCACACGGTGTGCTTAAATACAACCTAATTTATTAAACATTTGGTTGTTGTTAAGAAACATATCAGGATGTAGAATATTGTATATATATGTGATTAATCAATTTCATTTATACAATTTAGGGTACTCTTTCGATAATGTAACATTTGCATATGGAAATATAGCAATATCTTTTAATTACAGCTTTAAAAGATTTAAATATTTATTAAAATATAAGTTACAGTATATTAAAATTTTTATTTTTTTATTTTATATTTTTATTTGATTAAAAGATAACAATTCGCATTTATATTATGGTGATATTGTGAAGCTAACTATGTTTAAAACAGTCTATTGACTGAGCTTGGACTAGGCCACATATTTTAGTAGGCTGGATGACAGCTCTGTAATACATATTCAAGGGTTAGTAACACTAAAACAATAGAACAACTTAAAGATTTTTCAATATTTTAATATACATTATTAGATTAAATGACCAAATAGACATTCACAATAAAGAAATAGAATAGCAAAACTAAAAATTTCTAATGAAATGATAAAATTGCCAAGAATCTCTAATACTGAATTGGCTTATAAGACCAGTTGTTAATAAATATAAACATTAAAGGAACTTTTTGTAATCGTTGAGATACCAAATAGATGCGTCAATAAATACTGCAATCCATGAAATAACAAATGGCATATAAGATTCATAATTGAGTATCGCATTCTTAATTATGGCAAATGTGTTATTAATTCCAATTGCTAATTTATTGGAGTGTATGTATGCGATGATAGATAATAAAATAATTATTGCCAAAATCCGAAATTCTCTAATGTCAAATACAAAAATAGGATTAAATAGGCGATTAAGTAATTCAAACAAAAAGATTCAACCTACAGATAGCCTATGCCAAAACATGTATCCTCGTTTCCATAATTTCCTTTAATTGCGTAGAGAGAGCACACATACGAATCAGCTACAATTGCTCCTGGAAGGATTATACTTTTAAAAAGATCTTGATTATTAGCAATCATTATTATTTTAAAAATTACAATGGTACACATAAAATCCCAAAAATTTAAACCTTAACAACTGATATTGTGTTAAGGCAAGAATTGATAGATAATATATGAGTGTCGCTAAATTATAGTCTGTAAGTGAAAATTTAAGTCTATAAAAAGTTATCAAAAGTGACATGATTTTGACATGATTTATTTAAACGCCAGAACTTAAACATTCACTGATGAGTTTTAACTTAGCAATACTCATAAGAAAAACTTACAAGTTATTAGGCTGAAATCTTGGGTCATGGTGATAGTAAGTTTGTATAGCTAAAGTAGTATAATTTACATCTAATTATTTATTTATTCGTCAACTGGCGATAACCAATTACAAACTATTAGCTTTAATTGTTTAGGAAAGATCACTATGAAATCCCGAATCTAGATATGCATAATTCACAAAATGTGCAAATAAATCCTAAAGGTTAGAACTATATAACATATTAGAGTAATTAAAATAAAATAATTAACTATAATTTCAGTTAAATTTGCTAATTATTTGACCATTTTGAGTTACTCTTATTTTGCATAGTTTATCAAAATACTGATCTGTCAGTTGAGATTTTGCTTTGTTGTGATAATTTAAAATTTTGGGATTTTGGTTTTGGATTTTTAAAAATCAAAATTGACTATTAATTAATGTGTATGTACACTCCCCTGACAGGGATCACCAGAATTTTAATAATCACAATAATTTAACCAATTTGATGATGATCGTAGCCACATATAAATCATATGCTGATCGGTCTTTGCCTAATAAACAAAGTTGTATATTATAATGATTGGTATATAATTTAAAAATTTTAGAAAATTTGATAAATATTTTAGTAGTTATTTTTAGCATTTTAGATCTAAGTAAACAAAGAATAAAAAAAAATAAATCAAACTTTTATATGGCGACGCATTCCTGAACTGTATTATAAATGTCTGTTAGAATTTAATGAGATTATTCACCAAGTCTTAGAGCATATAGGATTA